ATAAATGTAAAGGAATTAATGGAAAAACTATAATGATAATGCAAAGTCATTACACATTATGTCATAACCTATACTCAAAAGTAAGGTTTGCCGATGACCTCCTGTTGTATGTAGAGCTGTCTACAGAACGACTCACAACTTCTGCACAAAGATCTGAACACCCTGGAAGAAATTGGCAAAGCAAGTGGCTCATGTAGTTATGATCCCGAAAAATGCTATACTAGTATGAACATAACAATCAAACGAAACCCACATGTAACTAGCTAAGAGTTTTGTGGTCATGCTTTAACACAACAAAACCGTATCTGGGCGTCACAAGCAGCCTGAAGTGGGGTGCGCAACTAAGGCTAAACGTGTATGCAAGTGATTTTAGCTAGCTGGTTGGGCATGCCCACAGATTGAATCTGAGTACAAACCAGAGTAAAATCACTTGCATACACGACACCGTAAGATCAAACAAGAATATGCCGCAACAGGATGGGATCCATGTACAAAGATAGACAAAGATAAACTGGAAAGGGAACAGAATCAAGCTGCAAGATTCTGCACGAACAACTATGAAAGAGGTGCTGGTTTAAGTAACTGACAACTGTAACGGAAATGAAACGAAACCTACAGTGGGTCTAACTGGGAGACAGACGAAAAATGTCCAGACTATGCATGATGTACAAAACAACTAATAAACTTCCAGTGTACGTACCAACTGCTAAGCCCTAAGTACCTAATACCAGCCCAGAAAAGAACAAACTATCGCAGAGTGGAACTTAACAAAGCAGAGTGGAACTTTCGGCTGTTGAAGTCGAATAGCCAGGCCCTTTTACTGATCAAGGGCGGTTATACTGCTTAATAATACTGAAGACACAGACCTGAGATACAGCCTCCATCACGACCTATCCTTATGTCATAGCCCATCTTCATCACGGTCACAACCTATCCTTATGTCATAGCCCATCTTCATCACGGTCACAACCTATCCTTATGTCATAGCCCATCCCTATCACAGTCATAACCTATCCTTATGATTGTTAGCATGACCGTGGGACAGTGGCCGTGCGTGTCGACATACAGTAAGATGCGTGGTGGCGCTTTTAAAGGTTGGGGTCGAAGGTCACCAGATTATTTGGTCTAACGTGTGTTGGCATGCTGTTTGCCTTCTAAAATTCAATAAATGGTATCACGACAAGACTCCGATCAACTCCTGTTAGTTGAATATTGTGTCACCGTCGTAGGAAAAGAAGCAAGACAGTTGTCAAGATTTGAAACTTGAGTCTTGTTGATAACGTTAGCTGCAAGCCTTCAACGATATTTTTGTTGGGGAGGGGGCCGCAGCTGATCCCTGCCATGGACGAGGCGGTAGGGCTACCTGATTTCTGCAGACGCCTTCCGAAAGTGGTAAGAGCATTTTCTTACGTCTTGAGGAATAGATATAGATATATAAGAGAGATCTCGTTATACATGCTGTCGTTTGATGTGCTCGAGAGGGTAAAAGGAAGTGGACAATCTGTAGTAACGTTAATAGTTTTTTTCTTTCAAAGTTTGTAAGATATACTAGTACGCTGTATGCTCAAAATCACAGGTAACATTTACTGATTGAAGCTCCATGCCTGCCTGAATGGTCTGTGAGGGTACTCTCATCTGCCGAATAAACATACCCCCCCCGGAATAAACGTACCCCCCGGACAAATCTTCAAAATCAAATAAACATACCCCCGGAATAAACGTACCCCCCGGAAAATTACCAAAATTGACGGGTAACGTGTGTCTCTTGTACTAAAATGCACCCTTACTGATATATGCACAAATCTTTAACTGTTATTTGCAATTAGGAATTTAAATAGACAAAAAAAAGAGCATTTAATATTTTGTATTTTGATAAGCACCACCCATGACAATAGAACACTCAGACAAATTTATGCATGCAGTGATTGCAAAAACCGGCCCGAAAATGACAAGTTTCTCGCTACAATATGCGTTTATAAACGTCTTCACGTCGATGATTTGTCAATTTTTTTCACACGAAGTTGAAAAAAATTACTGGTTTTCAAAAAATTAATAAACGTACTGTGCAAAAATAACAACGTACTGGGTGGATGTTTGGGCCAAAAAAAATAAACGTACCCGTATGTTTATTTGGCAGATGAGAGTATATTATTAATTGCAGGAGCTCCATTCCCACCAGAGCAGTTTATTCAGAGACTCAGAGTTATTGATTAATTGATTATTGATTGGTCATTGATGGGTTATTGATTGGTTAGTGCAGGATCTCCATGCCCACCCGAGTGGTTTTCTCAGAGTTATTGATTAATTGATTATTGATTCATTATTGCAGGAGCTCCATAACCACCAGAGTGGTTCTGTCTGAGTTATTGATTATTGATTGGATATTGATGGGTAATTGCAGGAGCTCCATGCCCACCTGAGTGGCTCGGTTAGTGAGACAACCATCCAGAAACTACAGGTGAAGAAGGGCGTCGGCCATGAGGGCCTTCAGGGGACACCGCCATCAGGAAGGGGGAGACAAGACATCTTCAGGAGTAAGGCAACGTCTTCTCTAAGTAGATCTTTTGGTGCAAAATTGTAAATTGGTGGCATCTGAAATCTTCAATTTCATGCTTATTTCATCTGCCCCCCCCCAAAAAAAATATAAAAAACTATATAACTGTTATATATAATTCCAAATTTGTTCTTTCAAAGCAATGAATATAATTCATTGCTATTTAAACTTTAAACCAAATACTTTCCAGAAACCTAAGTCTCATTTTGTTTTGTTTTATTTGTTTGTAATTAACTAAGGTTGAGTGCATGGCAAATTTCACATATATTCATCTAGTGAACAAATATTGTATTTTCCACTGAACACAGTTATGCTTGTGTTACTTGCAGACCCTTCCGAATCTTTAAGATCATCCAAGACCTGTCTGACACCGAGGAGGCTATCTTCATGGTGAGTGTGTGGTGCTGCTGCACAATCACACTTCTGGGATGGAAGTACAATGTATTGTGTTGGGTGGGCATGCTTTAGGGGGTTTGCATGTATTTTGTCTGCAGCAGCAACGATTTGAAGTGAATGGGTGGAGATTGTTTCAGTTATGCTCTGGGTAGTAGGAACTGGTATGAGGAGTATGTACTGTGTGTATATGGTATCCTCACTATCTTACTGTTGACAGTTCCAATACGCTCATGGACAACCAAACCACTTCCTGAGAGTCTGCAGTGTGAATTACAACCTTGCATTGAGGAAACTTGTTACTATGCAGTAGTGACCTGCAGTGGTTTTGTTGGTTGTAGATGACGGAGGATGTGATATCAGAATTTGCTGCAGATGGTGTAAGATACCTGGAACTCAGGAGTACTCCAAGACACGTGCCTCACACAGGTCAGTTAGTTTCCTGTAGATAAGGCCATTGTAAGTTGATTTTTTGGTTCTTGGATTTTTCAGGAAATCAGTGAATCAGGTAATATACTATGTGAAAAAAATTAATGCTACCAAAGGAGCCATGAACTTGATGACATTCTAGGCTGGCTTATGATTCAAACAATGGATTTTGAACAAACAAAACCAGGAGGTACTGTAGTTGTCTTTTTAAAGCTGAATTTCTGATGAACTTGCAGAGATTTTGTTTGTTCAAGATGAGTTTGTGTTACCCTGTTGCAGGTATGACACCCCAATCATATGTAGAGTCCATCCTGTCTGCCATACAGAAGTGTAAGGACAGGGAAGATGTGGTTGTCAGGTACGCAACAATCATTATGTCTATATTTTACTTGTCTATATTTTCTGAACTCCCGCTTCTATCTTAAGTCTGGTAGTCCATCTGTTGCATCATCAATCAAAAGACCATTGTTTGCTCTCCAATATTTCATCTTTACACTGATAGCAGCTGCAGACTTAATATACCTGTTGTTATAGATTAAAACTATATGTATATAGGCTTTACATACTGCTGCCCAACCCTGTGTCAGGGACCCCTGCAGCAGTACAATGTATAACCAAATACTGGATACACTTCAAGTTGATGAGATATTCCAATGTGCGAGTGTCTGTCCACATGTTACTGCTAGTTGAACAGTGCAGAGAAGTTGACCCTGTGTGTTGCAGACTTCTGCTGGCGATCGACCGGCGCCAGTCCGTGGAGACGGCCATGACAACCGTCCGGCTGGCGCAGGAGTACATGCTGAGGTCACCTGGGGTCGTGGTGGGCATCGACCTCAGCGGAAACCCAGCTGTAAGGACACCGTCTTTGATCTTTGTTTTCTGTAAACAGAAACAGCAAGAAACAGGCTGGCAAGAAAACTATTGCCATGGTAACAGTTTTGGTTTAATAATGAAATTCAATGAGTAAAATTCATTCTTTAGCGACACCCCCCCCCCAAAAAAAAATCATGACAATCTGTCAATCGCTACATTCCTGTGGGCATTACAGAAATTTCCATACAAATTATTACAATTACTAGAAATCTTGCAGACTGATTAGAACATACTGAACATACTACTAGTACTAGGCTTCCCTCTCAGGCAATGCCAAAAACTACCTTTTACCAAAGCTGGTGTGTTATGCCAAAAGGCGGGTACCTCGGTTATACAGATTTGATTTGAACAAGAAGGCTCAATCATATAGCTAGTAAGAATTAATTATATTAGTACATTTTTAATTTCCTTGTTTTACATATCAAACAGTTAACTACCTTAAGGCATAACAAGCTACATGACACCAAACTGATTTAATCCACGCAAGGTCAGAACCCTAAGGCACAGAACTACAACATAATTGTGTGATTGGACTGTACCATGTTGCAGGTGGGGGATGGGAGGGACTTTATCCCCGTGCTGAAAGAGGCACAGAACTGTGGACTGAAGCTGGCTCTTCACATCGCTGAGGTCTGTATTGCTGTCTCAGAAACCACTTTTCTGTACTGCTGTCTTTTTCTGAAGCTATGGTAGATGATGATGTGACTATGGTAGAGAATGATGTTGCTATGATAGAGAATGATGTTGCTATCATGTTAGATAATGATGTTCCTTCCAGGTGATTATTGAATAACCCACCTGTTCCCTGTCAGATATCCCAGCAGGCCATTGCCCCGGAGACCTCTGCACTGCTGTCCCTCCCCCCGGACAGGGTCGGACACGGAACCTTCATCCACCACAACCAGGACCTTGCAGCTGTGGTGGCCGACAGGAAGACGCCTTTTGGTGAGATCAAACCGCTTATACACTTAATCTTTACCCATTTTGCATTAGATTTTACCATTCCAAACCTTTGTTGGTCTGTAACATAAAAGATTGATTTTCAGAAATCTGTCTGACGTCCAATGTGAAGGCGCAGACTGTGGCGTCCTACGGGGAGCACCACTTCCAGCACTGGTACAGCAGGAAACAGCCCTGTGTGTTATGTGTGAGTATACACAACATGTCTCTATTCCTCTTGAGCATCCCCATACCAAATTTCGGTTGATCAATTGATACATGTATTAATACAAGGGTGCAGGAGTCTGGAATATACATTTTTGGTTTGAAAATGTGCAAAAAAACTTGGTAAAATGATTCTAAAGGTCTATATAATCAAGAAATGAAAAAAAATTTCCTCACTCTTTCTGCATCCAAAATTTCATATCATCTGGTCCAAAAATTAAAAAGTGGAATCCATTTGACCAAATGGCAGAAGGAGAAGAAGAAACAACAACAAACAATACAGTTCCCTCCCATACTGATGGTATGGAGTGAAACATCATTACAACCCTGCTGTTCCTGTACTTTGTTCCAGACGGATGACAAGGGTGTTTTCTGCACCACATTATCAGAGGAGTACCGGCTTGCAGCGGAGACGTTTGGCTTGACCAGACCTGCCCTGTGGGACCTGTCCTACAGCAGTATAGACCACACATTTGTGGGGGAGGACCTGAAACAGCAGCTCAGGGACAGGTGGAATACGGAGAAGGAGAAACTGTTCCTCCAGACTAGATAGAACCTTATAATTACGTAATACAAAATAAATCAACAGGAAAGATCTTTGAAGAGTCATGATTCAGACCCATGCAGTTTGTAATGATGGCCTCCTTGTTAGTTTTAACACTATGATGTGTGGGGTAGTGTAATGACAGGACGTTTGATGTATAATATTTGGTAAACAGTTGCAGTGTTAGGCAGCAGGGAGAAGGTTATTCAAATATAAAAGGGGTGCTTGATGGTCCTCTTTTCTCCACACCCACTGCAGGAAGAGCCCTTATAAAGGCGTTGACAGCTTGTATAATGTATAATCTCTAACTGGGTGTGTGGCAGCGCATTGCTTTTAGCAGATCCTCAAGCCATTCTCTATGTTATGGCTTTTAAGTGCCTTACCGGCCACAGTCCTACTGAGTTTAGGCATTTCTTTCAGACAGCCTGGCTTTTCAGCCAATATTTCTAGCTGCCCTTTCAGATTAGTAAAGTGTCCTGTAGCGAGCTAAATTTTATTGAAACTAATCTCGCAAAACTTCCCCAACGTGTGCTAATGGACCTTACATGGGAGGGAAACTCTCCCTGAGCGCCGTAGAGATACCGGGTAGCTGCTGATGGTATGGTAACAGGTTGGTTACCAGGTGAGGATTGTGTGACTTGGTCTGGATACCAAGTTATTGAAAGTGGTGCTGCGTGCATTTTCACCAGCCGACCGGACCGGTTTCCACAACGCACCGTTGCCAGTTTGGCAGGAGGGCAAATATAAAGATGGCATAGCCTGGTGTTCACTCTATCGCGCTTGGGTGGGCTCTCTTGGGGCCTGCATCAGTTCCCCTTTTTTTAGCGATCAATGAAAAGCTTTTATAATACCCCAGTCATAATGGTAGACATCAGTTATCAAAGCCATGAGACAATGGAACCATTGTTTGAACTTGTTAGAGGGCGTTTCCTCCAGGCGGCTGGATCTCCACAACATATCTGTGCCAGTTTGGCACGGCGGGCGTCAACGACAATCTGGCGGAAGCAAAATTATAATTTTCAGGGTAACAGTGAATTTCATAGTTGTTGGTAGCATTGACCAAGCCAGAATTTGATTTTTCGTGCTGATCAGTTCAAGTTGAATTTCGAAGATGCTGTTTTCCGTTGTAAACCTTTGCTTCGTGTTGGGCGTTCTTGTGCGTGTGTCGTCTGGTGATGATCATGAGGAGGGCAAGACCGACCTGGGCCAGTTCATCTCGTTCCCAGACCTGAGCATGTGCTCGAGCGGTGCCCTGCTGCAGGCTGTCATGGCGGACCTGATGAGGAGAATGTCGGAGATGGAGAACACCGTGAGGCCACAGGCAGGTAAGGCCCTATGTCAACAGGACGGAGACAGCCAAACAGTATTGGCCATTGAGATAATTTAAACAGCATTGACAGATCATTGAAACATCATTGACAGATCATAGGAAGATCTTAACTTGGAGAACTTCGTATCATTGAAATATCTTCATGCCCGTAGCCAGGATTTTGAATGGGGGGTTCTTATTACTGCTTGAGGGGACCTCGAGCGCCGTAGGCGCGAGGCGAGCGCCTAAGGCGCGAGGCTCCTAGGGGGGTCCGGGGGCATGCTCCCCCGGAAAATTTTGAAAAATGAACCTTCTAAAATGGCATTTCGTGCATTTTTGAGAGGATTTCCAAGAAAAAATCAGAGATAAATTTTTATTCAATGCCAAGGGAGCAGTTTTTCTACGATTCCAGTCCATCTTTTCAAGAAAAATCTTGGACCTTTACATAAAATGTGGACCAAAAAGTGGACCTTTACATAAAATGTGGACCAAAAAGTGGACCTTTACATAAAATGTGGACCAAAAAGTGGACCTTTGAGTCTTGTGGGGTGGTTCTTCCGAACCCCCCCTGGCTACGGGCATGATCTTAGTGACCGCTGAAGGCTCACTGAAGTTCTGTCGATAGATTTGTACATTTTTGGACCCTCAATAGTCACACACCGCCTTTGTGGGAATTTCCAACTTACTGGGGTCAAAGAACAAGATCTGAACTGTCTGGAAATGAAAACACTAAAATGAGAAAGACTTTTGGAATTCTGTAACCTTCGTATCAAATCTTTCCCATATTTCACAAAGCATTTCTTGACTTTAAAATTTATGACTGAAAGTTGCATTCATTTAGTTATTTGGCAGGAATTGAAATTAACTTTCTGGACTGTATACAAGCATGGGTGTGTCGGCCAATGCCTCTGTTGAGCGAAACACGTTTTGTACACTTTAACGATAAGCATCTGTCGGCCACGAAGATAACGTGTCAGAAACTTCCCACTGAGTGAACTTCTCCCCACATTGTCATGGCCAATTTTACCAAAGCCATTGGAACTCTTCCAGATCTTTCCTATGTGGCCGACAGATGCTTATCTTTAAAGATCAAAAGTGTGTTTCACACGAAGGTTTGTGTTAGCGTCCACCAAGACTTCCTATGGCGTATGGATGGTAAATTCAGCAAAAAAGGCCCAGTGAGTCTGAGACAAACGGTTGACTATGTGAGCAAATGAACTCTACAGTGGCCAATTATCCTCTCTTTAATTTTTTACTGTTTTGGAACCCGCGTTGTAAGTCTGGAGCTCTAGACTCTTGTACAGAAATTTCTGAAAAAGCGTTAACTTTCGTTTTTGCCAGCTCCTACGGAATGCAATTAAAAAACGGCACAAAAATGTTCATATTTGCCAAGAGAATGCTCACATTTTGTCCTAACATGACCTTAGATGTCCCTGCATGACGAGCGCGTAAAATGTGGAAATGTGTGATGCGATATTGATGCTAAACCATGCCTGTATTGCCCTCCGTAGCCCTGATTACCGAGCTAGAGGACCGAGTAAGAAGCCTTGAGGAACAACTGGTCCAGGAGCGAACCACCCGCGCACGGCTGGAGGGGAGGGTCAACACCACTCAGGCTGGTCTGACCCTTGTGCAGGACACTTCTGCCCGGCAGGGCGAAATGGCGGGAAAACTGAAATCTGACTTGTGTCGAGCAACACCGAAACTGGGTACGTACATGCAGGACAGCAGGTATATGTAATAGATATAGTGTATTTGCGCTTAACCCATCACACATTGTGACAACGCGCGCTATTGGTTGTCTCCAGGGAGACTCTTCCACCAGAAATCATCAGCGGGGCACTACAAGTACGACCTGGAAGAGGCGAAGCACGCATGTGCAGTGAGGAATGCGACCCTCGCCTCCTATCACCAACTGTACGAGGCCTGGCAGGACGGACTGGATGTCTGCGCATGCGCCTGGCTGTCTGACGGGACTGCCCGTTATCCCACACAGACGGCAAGGTCGGTGTTTCCGCGCTGTAAACCCCTGTGGCAATTCCTTATGTGGTCATCCCTTATTTGATATCACCCTATAAAATTGATCATGAACATACATAGAGTACTATATACCCAAAGCATGCTAAGACCATTTTGAAGCTTGTCTTTCCGTCTTTTTTGCCTGTTTTTTGTATCAAGGATACTCAAACATCAACGATACTCGTTTTCTTTTTCTTCAACCACCAACCACACAATATGTCTTCCCTTAGGAGTGGTTGTGGGAACAAGGTGGACATCATCAACTGCGGGGACCACACGCCAAACGACGCCTGGTGCTTCCGTGAGATGGCCAACTGTGGCTGAACAGTACACATGGCTAGCTGTGCGATTTTTTTACCTCCATGTGAATGTGACTGAACACCACACATGGACAAGTGTGACTAAACAACACACGTTGACAGCTATGACTGAATAGTGCACATGGCTAGCTATGAGTATGAATGTACAACACACATGGCCAGCTGTGACAGCACAAGTCACTAGTCTCTTATAGACTAATTTGATTTCTCAGAAAATGGATGGCATTTGCCAAACAGAGATGAATATGAAGAGTTAGGCACTAGCACTGCTTGAGTATGTTAAGTACCACAACGGATACGTATGCAATACGAGAGGTTGCATAAGTAATTGTGATTGTGTCGATGCGGCATGTTTGCAAAACGCTATCTTCCAGTTTTATGACCAACGTTACGTTAGTTGATACGGATAGGGGCGTAACACGCCAGTTTATCATAGGTCCAGGACCCGTTGGACTGGTTCAGTTAATGAACCCCATGAATAAAGAGACGATCGATCAACTTTTCTTTTATAGTTAGTGCTTTCTTTTCCTGGGCAAAGGCAATTTACAGCTATTGCACGCAACGTTACCCATCATAGCTAACTTACCCAGGGTTAGTAATGTGACGATCCATGCAATTCTCATGATTCTCTGCACCATAAACCAGCACAAAATGGTCCAGAAGTGCATCTTCACACTTTATTGTGCATTACGTTTATTCTATCGCTTTCGGCATTTTAATGCCTGAAAATGCAGATCTTCAGATGTAATTGAATCCGACTTCGTGAAATCCTCCGCCCCGGCGCGCGCTGATGGGGCTGGCGGGCGGGCAATACTCCCAGCACCGTACGGATACCGGAGAGCCTACGATGGTATGGCTACCAGCTATACAACGTTGCTCTTTCTTTCTCAAAAGCAAATTTAATTTTAAGAATAAAACCTTCAAAGCCTTCATCTCACACACGGCTATTTAAAACTTAAAATTACCCACGTGTCAGATCAGAGAAAGTCGCAGACTAATACCCGTAGTAATTGTGTTCACTTGTTGTCTTGAGAGCACGTAAAGACCGAAGCAAGTTAGCCTCAGTTCTCCAGCCATCCATCCACCACGGGATTGCGACCAGATTTTAAAAAATCCACCTGGTTGAGTGTTCCGGTTAAACGTCATGGAACTGATTGACACGTTAAAGCTTAAATTGAATCAACCCTACTTCAGTGTAACGTGTCATTCCCGAAGTGGGGGTGCTAAAATATTGCCCATGGGTATTGTTTACCTGGATGTCTACCCTTCATCAACCTACTCAGGGTTTAGATCTAATGTTTGTAGTTTTCAACCCTCTCATATATTTTCACACATGAAGCTGCAGCGTATTCTATAATATCGTACAAGTGCAACATCGACATGGCTTGCAACGTGTGACGTGAGTTTATTGTGCTTTTAAGCTTACAGCAATAAAAATACAAACAATTAAGTAACACCCATGTTTCCAGTCATCGCTGCCTAGAGCTCGTAACACTCGTCTTGGAACTTTCATGATGGAATCTTAGTTTCCTACTGTAAACAAATAAACCTTTTCCCTGCTATTTAGACAAAAAATGTTCTATCATTTCAAGTACTCATTTTTGTCATCTTTCAGTTATTTTTTGCGATGATTGTAACAATACCGTACGCTGAAGCTTTCTTCAACATTTACTAGAGACTGTTTGGGCATCACTACAAACAGTTTGGAATACGTCGCTCAGTGCATGGATAAGTCCTTGCTCAATGCAAACACATTTAATCAAGGCAACTGCATATGGTAAAATCCTGCTGGAAAATAATCTACAACTCCTGATGACCTACATTGTTGACCTCCCCACTCTTCCCCACACCCCACTCGTAGACTTCCCTACTCTTCCCCACACTCCACTCGTAGACCCCCTTACTCTTCCCCACACCCCACTCGTAGACCTCCCTACTCTTCCCCACACCCCACTGGTAGACCTCCCTACTCTTCCCCACACGACACTCGTAGACCTCCCTACTCTTCCCCACACCCCACTCGTAGACCTCCTTACTCTTCCCCACACCCCACTCGTAGACCTCCCTACTCTTCCCCACACCCCACTCGTAGACCTCCCTACTTCCCCACACCCCCATAACACTTTTGTCTCGGAAATTAATACAGATTAAGCAGTCCTTGTACTCTTCTTGTACTCTTGCCATCCTCAAATGATGTAAAGCATATAATGCTTTTCAAGTCGCTACTAGCATAATGCAGCTTCGCCACGGCTCATGTCTTTAGCAAGAACACCGGGTCACCCCTCCTCTTCTCAAAAAGTACGTTACGTTCTTTTAGGTACTCCTGCTGAATGTGCCCCTTGGCCTGGTCATTCATTGGCAGACGGAGCGGAAGCACCAGGCGTTCTGAGTCAGCTGCCAGTCACACCTAATGACGCCTCTCGTGTTGTCACAATCCTGCCTTTAACAGAAGAACACACAAAGAAAGTCATAGTACACAAAAAGTCAATGGCATTTGTCGTGTCAAAAAATAAATTTCTATTCCTTTTGTTTAAGATTGATTCTATCATGTCTTGTCTTTTGTTTTCTTTCTCACGTTTGTTTCGCCTTCATTTTTTTCGTGATATTTTCACGTTTTGGTTTAAATTTGCTTCACCAACCATGTATTTTGTAGCCTTTATGATTTGCCATAGCCTGGGTACCATCCTACTTGTACACCGGGGCTCCCACACTCGCTTCCCTAAGAAGTTACTTCTTAGGGAAGCGAGTGTGGGAGCCCCGGTATACAAGTAGGATGGTACCCAGGCTAGATTTGCCAGTCTGTACGGCTTTGTTTTTCATTGTGTATTGTTTATGTTAAATACATAAAAAAGCTGTTACTTTTCTCAACATAAATGTACTCGGTATTTCTGTTCCTTGAAGTACTAACCTGCGCTCCTGCATCGGGTAGTAAGCCGTCCCGTCCGCCAGCCAGCCGCAGTCACACCGCTGCAGCCCGCCCTGCCAGGCCTCGCGCAGCTGGTCATAGGTCGCCAGGACGGCTCCGTTCTCTGCGCATGCCTGGCGAGCTGCATCCAAGTCGTACCTGTACCTGCCCTCTGGTGACGTCAGGTGGAATACCTTTCCTGTAGAAAAAAACAAAAAGCAAAAAAAAATGCTACGTGGCAGTGAATAATCAAATAGTAACTTTGACACCGGAGTTAATTTTACCATTATTTAGATTTGTTGATGGCATGCGCATCTTCCATATACACACTTCGGATTTCATACCGTCGTCAAATATTTTTGTGAATTTCTTATTTCTTCTTTTATTCATGATTGTGAATTTTCCGGGCTTATGTCAATGCGTTTTTGGAACCAGACCAATAGACTACCGGGCAGTTTCCTGCTGACCAGCCCTTGTCGGCCAGTTTCCGGTAGATAACGGTGCGGGGCTTTTGTAGATTGTGGTTAGGAAATTTCCCCCGCCCACGTGCTGTCACTCAACTGCAGGAACATACAAGCAAGTACTCACCTCGGTCCGGCGCTGCTTTGCACATGGCAGTTATGTTCGCCAGCTGAGAGCGGAGGGTTCGCTCCTGGTCCAGCTGCTCCTGAAGAAGGGTGGACACTCGGTTCTGCAGACGGCTGACCTGGGCTGCGCAGCTCTCAACAGTCGCCAGTTGGGTCTCCAGAGGACTGAGAGCAGCTTCCAAGGTCTGGTGGTGCTCTTCTAAGGTCGATTCTTCATTCGTTTGAGGGTGGGTTTGGAGGTCTCTGCAGACCATTTCCAAAATCTGTCGTTGAGACGAAAAATATTCATCTCGTCAGTGACAAATTTGAGAGCACTGCAGTTGAATCAATTTTAATACTAGTAATTCCTGAGCACCACACTCGTTTCTTTTCTACTGTAGTGTCCACGTTTTAGGCTGCTTTCATGTGGCATATCTGCACCGCCGTTCATTCATAAGGCCATGTTGATTTTATTATATGGATGACATTCTCTAGGAACCCCAAAACTGATGCAAGCGTGCGAATTTATTGGCATGTTGAATAATAGACTTTTCATTTCATTCCTTCACATTTGTTCTTGTCCTCTGGAATCAATTTTGGCATTCTGCGACATAAGTATCGTTTTCCAATATTTTTTTTTTCAATTTACGGCATTTATTTGCTCATTTTGCAGCTACGATTTACATGTATATGGTCGAAAACTTTTTTTTTTGGAAACGGACGAAAATTAATGCGCGGGTGGGTGTCATCCATATAATCAAATCAACATACATTCACCAAATCACTACATAAGTAAAGGTAATGTCTGAGCAACCGAGACACAACAAAACTTACCGTATCAACATCCAGATGCGGAGTGCTGATGTGCCACAAGGTCAAGGTGAGCGTCACAGATGATGTCAATATTGCCATGGCGATCATCGTCTTGACAATGGTAACCGCCGGTGGCAGAAAACCACTTGCCCGGCTACACAAACTATTTGTTTTCTCAACGTCCCCTGAAACAGAAGAGATCATTGGCAATGCAACAATTACTTGCCCAAATATGCGTCGTACGTCTTTGTTTTCACTCAACAAACTTGACTAATCCGGGATACTAGTTCAAACACACACACGCATAAAAAACACACATACATGTACATACATACACACACACACACATACATACACACACATACACACACACACACACACACACACACACACACACACACACACACACACACACACACACACACACACACACACACACACACACACACACACACACACACACACACACATTCATTCATTGCTATCCGTAAATGTAGTGCTGACCTGATGGACTCCCACTGGGACCGTATATGGGGTTACCATGAAGCTGGTTGATGACATCTTGGGCAGATGCTAGTATATCTCCAATTGATAGATTTCCTTCTTCGGTTTTATCCTGCCGTTCATTTGGAGTGATTTTGTCGTCGTGTGGGTCTGCTTGGTGAGTCTTGTCGGGAGCGTGCTGAACCCGCTGAGCCATGGCAGCAGTGTGTACCGAATGATCAAGCAAGTACTTTGCACGCAGTGCATATAGCTAACAAAGACACGCGTTCAATAATTGTCTGTGGCAGTCCTAATCAAAAATAAGTTTGATTGAAAGTATTATATACGCATGCATTCAATAATTGTCTGTGGCAGTCCTAATCAAAATGCGTTGAAGTAAAAGTATTTCTTTCTTATTTGAGTAACACACCAGGCAACCAAAACAACAGGAACACTCAAGGATGCCTCTACAGTGAGGGCCGACGTTTGGAGGTGATGAGCCAACCTCCCATTCCTGCAGACATAAAGCGGACATAGACGAACACTTAAAGAAAACACAAAAAGCGCAATGGTCATCAGTCCAATCTCTGGGCTCCACCATCGGGGGATCCAGTTGAGAAACAGCTCGGTATAGCAGTACAGCACTCCCGCCCACCACTCTCGGTCCATCCCTATTGGATTGAAAATATTACAGATGCATGCATTGCATTCAATAATTGTCTGTGGCAGTCCTAATCAAAACTAAGTTTCATTGAAGTATTAAGACAGAGAGACAGCCATTGTGGGAGTGGGAGTATACTTTCATCATGAGGGAAATAGAGTTCCACGAACTCATACCTTCACCAAATACTATTAACCTTTACAACTTTCCCAAGGTTTCCCGATCTCATTGATTACGCGAATAGGATCCTCATTTGCATGAATTACATACGTTGATAATATCCCACACCCAATGACGCCATTCTAGCATTTCCTCATAAATCACTCAGAGTTCTGAGTACTCTCCCTTGTGAAAGTGTGTAGAGGAGCTGATATCGGTTCTGATCACGGTAACGGGGTATCTGATATTATATCAAGAATTCAAAGATCTCATACCTCAATGAAATATTTAGAGGTTGTGTAAAATTGTTATTGGGGGGATTCGTCTCATTGTATATAGAAGTAAGGTCGTAATTAACAGTTTAATTTATGGTTTTCTTTACTCAAATTACAATATTTTGCATGAGGAATTCCTATCCTTTGGCAATATTTGATTTAAACATGTCCTTATTAATTATGCAAATGACCTCTATATTAACATAATATATGCATATTAATGTTCACCTTTAAGTAACTTACACATGTCACGAATTCTTGTTCATTCATAAAGTTGGGACGATATACATATGTTATGTTTGAGGTCTTTTCCTGGTTGTGTAAGTGGAGTAAAGTCCCTGAACTCTGACCCACAAATGTCCCACTGCGAAGGTAAAGTTTTACCTGGCGGGCATTACCTTAGTTTCTCGTCCGGACAGGTACCAGGTGTGTACACAGGGCGGGTACAACACCTGTACAACTTCCCAGGTAACCAACCGGCCCAGGTACCCGAGGTGTTCCATTTGAAAAACCTGTGAGGGTGGTGGGTAGCAAAGAGGATTTGTTCCTATCATTTCCTTTTATTACATTTCAAAACATTTTCCATAATTCTTACTATTCGGTATTGACTTGTTAGCAGCATTTTTCACCTCATCCGCTTGCTATAACCTATAATCTTTCCTTCACTCTACCCCCTCTGACATTGTAAATGCTTTGCCCCTTAATGTATGACGTACTTTAATACAAGTAACTACCGGCTTCCTATGGGACAGCAGACAGTATCTGGCCCCTTGTTCCTTTTCTACAACTATAGCCCCGCTAACCGTACCCTACCATACTTTTACAACTAGAATCATTCAACCCGTCGCCACCATCTCCTTACAGGTAACGTTATAACTTGCCATGCCGGGTTGTTGGGGACTAGTCCTCGGGCTCCTGGCGTGCCTCCTCCCACAGGGCCGCGCGGCTCTGCCCGCTGGCTGCGTGATCCTGGAGGACATGCCCTTCTCTACCACCGACGTGTCGAGCATCTTCGGAGTGAACCGAATTCTGGAGACCGAGGCGCCGCCGCAGCGTGTGGGGACACTGCGCGACCAGGGCCCGCTGCCCACGGGACACTTCGCCACAAACCAGATCAAGCCTCATACCGCGCCCATGAGACTGTTTCCGTACTCAGGTAAGTACTGGGATGATAATTGTTTGGTGCAAACTCTTGGGCAAAGGCTGAGTGCACGTACAAAAAGATCAAACATACTAATAGAAACAATAGTAACAATATTTAACGTAGTCAGAACTAAAAAGGCAACTCCAAAATTTTGGTTTTGTCTTCTTTTCCTAAATAGATGCAAACTAAAATCCCACTTTTTTGTAATGTGCGGGTTTTCGGATTTTAAGAAAAGGGTAGTTTTATCTGTAATAAAAAGTGAGGAAGTTGAGGTAGAATTTGGTGGCTCACTTCTTTTGTGACTTTTCAAAGCACTGCCTGAAATAAATGTGTTTTATCTTCCACGGTATTCATGTACAGTGTAGGGTTTTCAGGGATCAAACCCGTGAACACGTGGCCGCTAGTCTAGCCTCATATGTATATACCCAAAGACGTCTGTAGACCGTCCTTGATATACCTTATGTCGGCTGAAAGTGCCAATTTTGACCAAAGTTTTACCGCCAACCGCGGGAAGATCATGTATGAATGTATGGCGCTTGTACATTTAGCCTGGCTTCAATACTATATAACTACCCATGTGCGGCCATCCTCCCTGCAGGTTTTATGACCCAGAACTTGACCTAGCGGTGTTTTTGTTCTCCAGCCGTTCTGTCCCGGGAAGGCATCACGTATGACGCGTACACCCTGGACCGGTGGAACGCCACCGAGCGGTCGGACGAGATGATGCAGCAGACGCCCAGCCGCCAGGGGGCGCCCTGGGACAAGGTGGTGAGTGTGGGCACCAACATGAAGCAGATGGTCTCCGGGCCCGACGGCGCGCCAAAGGCTAGCTTCACAGGTAGGGCGGGGAAATACCCCCTACTACATTTCCTACGTAACCGAGCAACGTCAGTCTGGAGCACCCTCTCCACTGACGCTCGCACTGCTACGCCGACTGCCTCCTTTATAAGAAAGCTCTGGAAGTCTCTGTCAAGTGTTCGCACTGACCCTGACCTCCCTATCATATACGCTACTTTTTACACAATGCATTATGTGCCCAGAATAATGATATAGTCTGTGCTGTAATTGTAATGTCTTGTCTTTGTCAGCAGGGCTAGCACTTT